GAGATTCATTGAACTTTTCAATGGCATGTTTAATCTTGATTATACCCTTCTATTTGTGACTGGGATGCCGAGGATCACAAACAAGGTGTGAATAACCACGCGAATCACTTGGTGCACTCAACGTCTTGCTCACCTAATCAATGTGCCGGTTAACCACACACGCTCCATTGATCAATAACAGACATCGAACCACTCTTCACCACCAATGCCAAACCCAAGTTAGTGTGCCGGTTAACCACACATGCTCCACTAACGTTTAGACAAGGGTACAAAGTGTAATTCCATGGATTAGCATACAATTCCACATTTTTCCTAAAGTAACTATGATTTGGGAATTTATAAAAGCATTTAGTTACTTTGTACTTCATTATACTTATAATGGAAGGTTTTGTCCTATCCCACCCGTTCGGCTAACGACCCTCCACTAGTCAAGAGTGCGGTGGGTAAGAGTAGATACCCATTCAATCGCCATTTTATAGGCAATTTCCTTAAACACCCCTTATAGACCAGCTTCGTGAATGAGGCCTACTAACGGTAAGACTGACTCTTTACTCATATATATAATATTAGGCTTTTAAAGTTACATATATATAGTATATGGTGTATATTACACTTTTAAAATACTAGGTGGTTTTATTAACTTTTCATTTTAATTAAACTTTTAATTAACTTAACAAAACCATGAGGATGTAATTTGAACTTTTCAAAATACTATAGTTTTAGAATTTAAGTATTACATAATTAAACTATTAATCAAAATTTTTAATTCCAAAAGTTGAGGGCAAGTTTTGAAACATTTCAAAACATTAGGTTTTAGAATTTAAATATTTCAACATTAAACTTTTAATCAAAATTTTAAATTCCAAAACTTGAGGGCAAGTTTTGAAACTTTTCAAAACATTAGAGTTTAACTATTTAAATTTCAAAAACAAAACTTTTAAGTTCAAATTTAAACTATAAACATAAATGGAGTAATTTGAAACTATTCAAACTTACTAGGGATCAAATAACAAATAAGATAAATCAAATAATTAATTTAGTGATTATTTATATTTGACCTAATCTTATTTTAGTCATTAGATAATTACCAAATAACTTTAAATAATCCATATTTATCAAATAAACAACTAATATTCAAAAGATTTGAAATTATCTATTGGTTTGGCAAGGATAATCATTTAATTAAGATAAAATTTGGATTTTAACTCAAAAAAACGATTTAGCCATCAAATCCAAGACAAAACAGCAACTAAATCTCGAAATATCCTCTGCCTGACGCACAAACTCGCCGAGTCAGCACTGAACTCGCCGAGTAGGGCCAACTCGCCGAGTCCAGATACTGACTCGCCGAGTTGAGTCGGGCAGAGGCAAGAAAATGATTTTTCAGCAAACAAAACAGTTAAGCATCACATACAATTGAAACCAATCAAGGCTCTGATACCACTAATGGGTTTTATGTATAAGAACAATCCTATGTGCTCATACAAACCCTAATGCTTGGATCTAGGTTTCTCTATCGTACATGCAATGAATCCAAGACTTACAAATCCTAGATCTATCAAATAAGAACTGAAATAAGGGTTTAGTAATTACCTTTGATTGTTATATAGCAATAACAATCAATCCTTGCTTTGATTGGCTTCAGAAAGCTTAGTGCCTCAAGTGTTGCACCTCTAATGGAGTCACAAACACCATTAAGCAACTTGGATGAAGAGGGAGAAGAGAGGATGCACCAAAAACGGCTGGAAACCCTAGAGGAACTCTTAGCCACGTTTTTGGGGCATAGGGGTCCTACATATACATGTAGGCTATTAGGGTTTGCAATTAGGAAACCCTAATCTGACTGCTTAAGCCCTAAGCAGTCCAATGGACCATTCCAAAAAGCCCTTGGACGATTTCTTTATGGTCCTCCATATAGAATTCGTCCATTGCCATCTAATGGATCCTAAG